AAATTCTGCAAACTAACAGAAGACTGTGAGGGGGTCTCTTATCCCCACAGCTATAGAGAATATTTCAGTTCTTATGTTGTCATTTAGGTCAGCACACCGAATGCAGGGGCTTACATTCATCATAGTCCAAAACAGTAAGTGACAAACTTGTAATCAGCTCTATTTATGGAAAGCCATGGGACTATAAGCAAATACTGAAAATTAAGCATGCTGGTCACACTGCTATTTCACTCTGCTTTCATTTGCCAGTGGTCCTGCATTATTTCATCCCTTGTTTAATTTAACACAGCAAAACTCCTCTTGCAGGTTGGAATACACTAATCATTTCAAACAAACTTCCAATTATATAAGCTAAGGATTGTATTTTCACAAGTTTTCTGTTTAAGATAGGGCAACTGCATGTTTATTTATTCAAAATTCGTGTTCAATTTCAAATGCTCAAGTTTGTGGAGGAAAAAAATTTTTTATAACTTTGGCAAAGAATGGTTAGTTCCTCCACTGACAATAGAGTAAAAAGAAAAATCTTAATATTTTTCCCCTCTTTCTCTGATCTGCACCTCAAGTTCAGAGTAACTGTTAAAAATTATTTCACCACATCCAAAATCCCACTTAAGTTGCAATAATCTTACTTTACTGTACTGCTTATCTGCTTACCTGATGTTAAAAGAAAGGGTTGTTTAACCTAATCCTCTCATCTTTGAATCATGACAGAATATCAAGCCAAAAACCAGTCTGTTGAAAACCTGAAATAATTTATAATTGGAAATGCTTCTCTGCATACATCATTTTCTCCTCAGAGATCAAGGAAAGACAGGCAGAAAGGCAGCCTTGTTTCTAACAAATTATGCCCAAACTATCAGAACTCAAATGATCTCTCTGTGGAGCACTGTGTTGATTTTCTTATATACATTTCTGGAGCGAATATTTTGTAACAAGGAACTTAATATTTCCTAAAACATCTGCGTGTGTTTTTGCAAAACCAAAAAAGGCATAAAGATGTCAACAAAAACAGTATTTCTTGAAACAAGCTTATATTTAATCGTGTTATTTTCAAAGAATAGGTGTGACAAGAACAGAAGTTTAAAATGGTATTAGAAATCAGCTGGGAAGTGTGATTAGACAGCTATGAGAGATTTTCCCTCAAAATTGAAGTTTAGAGAAAGGTTTCCTTCATGTGGAAAAAAAAAAAGAAAAAGAAACAGACCAGCATTGTGAAGCTACCACATCATATTCATATAAGCAGGTTCATTAAAATTCTGCTTAAAGTTTTCCAAATATTTATCATCCTAGATAAATGTTCTCACACAGGGTTCAGGGAAGACCGAGTTCCCCATTTTTCCTAAGCACACAGCGCAAGCAAGCCCTTCTCTAAGGAGATTACTGCCTGCAGGAGAGCGAGCAGGATATGGGTCATGATCCCCACCCCACCTCACCTGCATGTGTTAAGCAGTACAGATTTACTGCCACATCAAGAGACTTACAAACCATGGCAGCTGTGGTGTCCTGAGACACTGAGGCCGATGTCTAGAGCTCGGGTTAAGAAGCTCCTGATCTCCCTTTGCCAGCGCTCTCCTTCCTCCCACTGTACTTCAGTTCCCTTCTCTTTGCTGCAGCGAGGCCACTGTTCTGAAGCCACACTGTGAATCAGATGATTGAAATGGCCCAGATTACACATGACCTGGTTTGTGCTTGGAAAAGGTCTGGAAGGGCTTTGTAGCTTTAATGGTAGTGGAAGGGGAAGAAAAAGTAGGAGAGGGAACTTCAAGCTTTATCTGGAAGTGTTACCTGTGTAAATTTGAACTGGACAATTCACAGCCAGAATATTTCTGCATCTCCCATTTCTGTTACAGTTCCCTTCCAGCACTGTGCCTTTCTGCAGAACAGAGGGAGAAGAACTAATTCAGCTGATCATCACTCCTCTGTTCTGAAAGGCCTGATCTGGCCTGACACAACTACAACACATCTCCACAGCAAGCATTGATCCAGCTCCAGCCCACTCCACTTCTAGTATTCTTTTGATATTAATGGAATTTTCATACCTCTGGCTTTAGGTAATGTCACACATTTCAGGCATAAAACATGCTAGAGTTCTGCACATCTCTTACAGCAGAACTGATACTACCCAGATGTTTTGGGTGTTGATCAGCAAGAGCAGCAGGTCTCAGTGGAATTCTATAAATGAAAAATGGGAACACAGGAAAAAACCTGAGTCTACAATATCAGCATTTATGTCAGTGGGAAGGCAGAATTTTTATATTCTTCATCCAAAATGCATAAACCTGGAAAAATTATTCAACTGCTAACTTACAGAAAACTTGTTTAACTAAAATTCCAGTTTTAGAAAGCTCTCTTTCTATAACCTAGGGATGGTTTCATAGCCTCCTGCTTCACTGGGTTTAAGATTCCCTTGGTTAGAGATTTCTCTAAGCTGCTTCCCTTTATGAGCAGTAGACTGCAGTGGAATAATTTCTCTGCAGTATTTCTTTAGTGAAAAGGTCCACAAATTGATTTTTCAGCCTTTGCCCTCCCAAGACACAAATTCAAATATACATACTATCAGTGAAGGTCTGGCTTGTGTATATGTTGTTCCTCAAGTGGTTTTACAAAAAGGCAACATAAACAAAAACATAAAAAAACCCATAAATGTGTATTAATGATAAAATTTACATTAAGAACTCACAGAAGCATTGGGAGGTTCCATAAAATTTCAAATAAAAACTCTCTGAATCTTGAAAAAGATCCCACTCTGCTATACTGGAAAACCTGAGAAGATTGAAAGTATTTCCTCCCTCATAAAATAACAGAAGGAGTTAGATCTGTTGTTCTCTGGGAATCCCAAACAACCAAACATTTTGCTGCTATATTGTTAACACTGTAATATTTTTACAAATCTTGCTCAATGAATGCTCCATACTCTAAACACTTCATCCTGCCCCTATGTTATAGGAAAGAGTGCAATCTCAGAGAAAACCAGGACTCAAACAATCGAAAGAAATTTCTGGAATGGCACCTTGAAATGAAGCCCACAGGTCAAATACATTCCCTCAAGAAAAAAATACCTGTAACTGTCAGTTGCATTCTGCTGAACCTCCTGACTGCAGCCTGGAGAGTTGATAAAATCTGCTAAGGAAATGTCTATTTTTAAGCTAAACAGCTATGACAACAAAATGCTTGGAGATATTTTCAATATACATGACATTTTCTTCACAAATAGAACTATTTGTACTCAAAAGCGAAAGAAAAAAAAAACATTTAGTTCTGGATGACTTGCACCAGATACTTTATTTTGAAGTAAATGTAAAATGCAAATTAAATTCCTATGTTATTACGCATAAGATTTTCATAGTGTAAAAGACATCCCAATTTTACATAGCTCTGAGCATCATCCTAGAGAGAGTGTGTTGAAAAGTGGCTCTCTGTGCTACTGCCCACTAATCTAGCCCTCACTGTGATTTTGGCCAAGTCATTCTCCCTTTTTCTCTCTGGAAAGTGACTGAACCTTCCTACCCGCAAAAAAATGAGATCATAATGAACAAATATTTAACATCACAAAGAAGTGGTATGACCTAGTGCAGCATATGGAAAGCCATTTGCAGTTCTAGAGCTCTAGCAAATGCTAAGTCCCATTTTTTTCCTCATACAGAACATGAACTAGTGACCTGCAGAACTTGAGAAGAGAAATATGTGAGGCCACAGCTGTGGGCACCCACTGTTTCAAAAATTTTGTATGCCATAAATAATTATAACTGGCACTTTGCATCTTTATGACCCACTTTTTTTCACCTGATAGGCAGCATGGTTCACTGTCTCAAAAAGAGCATGTGCTTGTAACTTGGAGTTTGCTGCAGTATCTTCCAGTTACAACAGCCTGTATTTGTCTGAATTTGACAAGTTTTACAATGTGACAACTTACTGAGTTGAGATACATCAGTCACTTCAAATAAGCAATTCAATTACATAAGATAAAGATTGGATTCTTACAAGTTTTCTTATTAAGACTGAGTATTTGCATGTTTATTAATCTTAGATCAGAACTTAAAGCTCTGTTTGAACACTAGGCTGTCAATCCTTTGATACACAGTAAAAAGCTCTTTGGTCTCTTCACTCTTTGAACTGCAACAGCAAAACTGAAGATTTTAATGGGATAATTTCTTCCCCTCTTCTTTGAGATCAGAAAGTTATTTCAAAACTTGCTAATTTTTTTTCTCATTTTTTTAAGAATTTTTGCTTATTCCTCTATAAAGCATTTTACTAAGAGAATGTTGATTTTGTTTGAATGTTGATTTCCCTTGAAATCTCTCTCCCACTGGAGACAGCAGCCCCCTCTTGCCAGAGAAATTCTATGCTAATAACATTTAACGGTTTTGGTTTTCATTGTGAATTAGGAAAATTATTTCCACTATATCAGCTCTCCTTAAAAATCCTATAGCTTGTTAAACATATCCTTTCTGGCATATCTCAACCTATTCTGGACTCAAAGTACTACATATTCATCCCATTTGAGCCCTCTTAAGGACACCGAGCTCTGTGCCTCCCTTTTTGCCAGGCAGGAATGCAGATACCTCAGTACTAGAGATGGCTTTTGTCAAAAAAAGTTTGGCATTTTTCATACTTCCAGCTACACAGACTGAACTCTACCCCCAGACCAGCATAAACAGGAGTCAACCCCCAATTTAACCATGTTGACAAATTGCAGGCCATGAGAAGCAGCTGACTCCTGGCTGCATTTACACTGGGAAATTCAAGTATGTTTGACACAGTACCTTGTTGGTACAGAATTAGCCTGGTTTGTGATAGTAAGAGATTTAATCCATGAGGAGAGTTGAGTCCATAAAAAAATTTACTGTTTAGAAACACTGTCAGGAACACATTTCCTCTAGTTAAACAGCCTCTGAAATAAATAAATACAGAATTACAAGATGGAAAGATTATACAGTGTTCCTTTCATGGACTATCAAAGTAAGGGAGAAACTAAAGTCATGCTACTCACTTGCCTACCACCAAATTCTCTTCTGACATTTTCTGGTTATTAAGTGTTGCCAGTGTTCCAGATAGTAATCCAAATTCCTGTAACTGCTTTCAAAAGTTTAAGGACTCCATACTGCACAGAGGCTCTCAAAAGGCTGTCTGAGTTTTACATTTCAAGCCTTGAGGAACAGAAATATAATCCTTTACAATATTTAGCACTCTTTTAGTTCTGCCCCAAGATTCTGAAGGGAATAGCAAATAAACACGGAAGGGTCTTTCACAAACTTTCCTTCACTTTGCAAGTGAACTGTCTCATTAAGATCTCTCTTTCATTGGCAAGCCCCAGTAGTCAAACCTGTACCCTATTAATAAATTCACTGCAGTTTCTGCAATATCATTAGATGCCAGTAATTGCCCAATCTACAGCCATAGGTGCTCTAAAATACTGTGAACCCCACTGGTATCTAATTATTTACCTGAAGCCAAATTCTACTATTAAACCCATGAAAACCTTTTTCCAGTACTAATTTTCACTGTAGGTATTTGTTATGGCAAATAACCAAGCTGCTGATCTTTAGTTCCCCTCCCCACTAACAATTATTTTGACTCCAGGACACCAAAGGCTGTGATTTAGAGACAAGGGGAGCATATTAAATATATGCATAAAACCTGGTTTTAAAGCACCAGTAATCTCCAATCAAGCATTAGTTTAACCAGGTGAGAAAAACAAGACAAGAAGGAGGTTTGTTTGACCAATTAGAATTAACCAATGCTTTTCAGATATTGAATGAGTAATAGTTACTGTACACCAAAAAGTTTGCAAACCAGAATCTAATCCTAGATATTGGTAATTATTATTGAAAGACTGCTGATTTCAGGAGACTACTGCACTCCTACCAAGTGCAGGCAAAGAAAAATGATGTTAAATTAGTGAGCTATAGGGTAAGGCATGAATTATTTACCAAGCTTGATTCACATGCATAATTCTTCTCAGTCAAGCATGCAAATCAGATCAGATAATTCCACACAATCATCTGATTACTAATTTCATATCCAATTACTTCATCAGTGTTGGTAGCTGCATTATTGAGAAGCACAGATCTGACAATATTCCTGTTTACATATTTTACAGACAGCTACTACATTTTTGGAGTCTGTGCAGATACTCAATGTAGAGCCTTTTATACTTCAGATATTAAGATAAGGCCATATGTTCATAACAGAAGTTTTCATCTAACTGTAGAATACCTGCAACTTTTATCTTCCTGTGGTGTGTAAGGCATAAATGGTAGTGTTACACATCAGAGGGATTTTTGTTAAGGTCAGACAGAATATTTCAGCCTTTGTTTGAGAGAGGGTGGACAACAAATGCAGAGTAGCCTTTTACTTAAGTCCTAACAATTGCTACCATTAAGCCTTAAGTAGCAATCAAATTGCTGCTGCTGTATTTGATAGATTGCTAAGTTCCTTCTGAAAGGTTTTTTAGCTTCCTGTGTAGGCAGAAACTCAAGAAAACTGTATTCAATATTCAGAATTTCTACCGATGGTTATACTCAACACACAGTTCTTCTTTGCAGTTTCTATGACTACTGGAGCAGCACTAATTCCTTCAAATTAAAAGGAAAGAGAATTCAATTTGTATATTTAAACAAGAACAGGTACAATTTTTTTTGAAAGCTATTCCAGCAGACAAAGCATATATACATCTACACATATATCTCCACTTGAAGATGGAGACATGCACATATATTCAATTTCAAAGATTTAACAAAGCAGAGAAAAGTAGAATCAATTTTAACATATATTTTTTATGCAACATTAGGAAATTTTAGCCAGTATTGAAAGAATTCTACTTTTATCTTTTAAAAATGTTCACTACAAACCATGTGAATTTCTTTAGTTAGATGAAATGAAACAATCAAAAGAGCAGCATAAATATTGTGTTTCTTTGTCAAAGAAATGCACTTTGCCTGTGCATCCTATATGATTACAAGGCTTAGGATATTTTTTTTTCCTGTGTCACTTACACCTGTCATATAATCTGAACTCCATGAAGCTAACACAAGGAAGCATTAGTGTATATATATATATGTATATATATATATACACACACATATATATACAGCTGTTGTAGGATTATGACTCAGTTTATTGGTTTCAGTGGTACTAGTCATATAATTTGTGTAATGTCTTTTTTAGTAACTCCAGTTCCTTTAAATATATTGTGGTCTTAGCCACAAAAAGTCTAATGACACCAGAAAAGCACACTGCCAGAATAAGCAAAATTCACCATACCCACTGAAGGTATTTCTAAATGAAGAAACTAGTTATTTTTTATGCTATTCGTATACCTTTACTTGGCTTTAACCTATCAGCTTTTAAAAAACCATTTAATTTTACTGCATTTTAAGCATGTACCTGTGCTGGTTTCACAACCAAAACAATCCCTCAGACAAAAAAAAAATCTGAGGTACAAAAATTACCCCTTGGTAAGTCTCATTGCTGTGCACCTGGGCAGCCACAGAGCCCCTGCCAGCCAGGCAGCCATCACACAAGACAACTTGCAGCCCTGGACAGCCTGCACAGCTGCTAGCTAGGGAATGACTTCTGGATAACCATGGAGCCTCCCAGCAAACCAGCTTGATGTCCTTGTTTCATGCCAGCTGGCTCACCTGTCCAGTCTCCATTCAAATATTGATGGAGTGACATAAAATACATGTCTGTAAAATCAACATTTTTTTCCAAGGAACCGCTGTTCTGCCAGAAAAATCGGAACTGGGTTTAAAATTAAGTACTGGAAAATACATTAGGAATTATTTTATGATTTTAATCAAAACATTACTGAATCCATCCTTTTTCTTCTAGTAATTCTCTCATCACAGCTTTCCTTTGTGTCAAATTACTTCTTTTCCTTGAAAAGCCCTTCAGAGGGAGCAGGAAATACAAAAACCGTCCTGTAAGGCACACTGGAGGAATGTTCTCTGGGTTCAGTGAACACCCTATAGTAAACATTATTTTACAACCCTGAGTCTCACCAGGTACTTCCATATACATCTTAAGAGGCACAAAAAGCTTTCCTGGCACACAGTGAAAGATATTTTCCTCTTTATCAACCCCTCAACTCTCAGTTTCATGTGTCAGTTGGGCAGCTGTGTGGAGACGGCTTTTCTTACCTTCTGGTTGTCCCGAGGAAGAGAAACATGAAGGCCAGTCATCTCAAGAAAATGCAGTCATACCACATTTGACATCACTGCTCCACAGAATGGAACACTTCAGGGCCAATCAGTTGTTCTGAAATCACTCTTAGCACCGATCTGGGCAAGCTAAAAGCAAACAAAAAAATTTATTTGAAAATTTTAAGAACACATCACAATCATCACATTAGTTGGGAAACAGAAAAAGGGAAAACCCACATAATTTCCAAACACATGTGTACTTAAGTTAGATCACCAGGCTTCTCTTACCCTACAAGATTTAGTTAATATGCAAACAGATACTTCACATCATTCCTGGCTGAAGGCTGTGACACACATCCAGCCCTGTGCCTTCCATCTACATTGATGGAAAATGGTTCAGACCAAGAAGCCTACAGTTTATCTATTTTTGGTAAAATTAAACCAAAATTCCTCTGTCTTCCATTCTTCTCCCTCTCCCATCTCCCCACCATTTAACATCCAAAAACAAGAGCAGGCTTTATGATTGCGGCCCACCTTTTTCCCTCACGTGCCACCTTACACTCAGTGATGGTGAGACAACATTAATCTGAACCTTTTTGCTCTGTCTGATCTGATGGACAGAAAACTTGGTGAGTGCACAGGAGAAAACAGCATTCTCTTCACTTTACTATGCCCATCCATCAGTCTTATTCCAGCCTAGATGGAAAAGCAGCATTTGGCAAGAACTGTCCATATACAGTCTCGCCCTTGCTGTAGGTGCTCGAGAAGAAACTCTCTGCAAGTGACATTTGTAACCATAGTGTAATTCCCTACAACCTCCATAGACACTGAAGTATTTTTTCCCAACAAAAACAAAGTGAAAGCTTAAGCAATGAAATTTCCCTTTTTTTACAAATTACGTACTAATACATTGCTATGCTGCCATCAAGAACAATCAAAATATGCAAGTATATCTGCACATGATGACCAAGGTAATATGGCCGCTAAAATTTAGATATTAATCTTTTTTCCCATGTAATTCATGCAAGTCAGGGGAAAATCCACACCTTCCAAAATACTTACGTTAAGTTTTTGAGCCTCAGTCCAGCAAACATCTGTTTGCAATGATGGAATTGTCCCATTGATTTTAGTTATACACATAGTTATAAACATCTTTTGTTGGATTGGAAACTTGGATTTGTAATTTAAAAATCCCTTTCACTGGTTATCAAATAGCTCTTGGATCTGGTCATTCTTTGGAGATAAAGATAATCACTTGCTCTGGGGAAGAAAGTTGCTGGGTCTGCCTGCATCACATGTAGTACATGAACCAAGTTAACACCATTCTGATTATGTTTCCAAGATACACAGAAACACTTTGCTAGCACAGGCTTATCTCTGGCTCAAGACCTAAATGTAATTAAGGCCCTAGGGTAGAAATGGAAGAGTTTTCTTTAAGCATTGCAATGGTAACACAGACTGCCAAGCAAATATGAAGGTAGGAATCTTGACAAATATGAAATACAAGAAGTTACTGGGCAATAATGGCATGTTGTAACCATGTCATGCAGCTTGTTTGTATAACAGCTCATAGAAGTTTTTACACAGTAAAGTCCCTTCCTCAGGAGTCAGACAGAATAAAACTGACTACTGATTAGAATTTGCCATCTTACTTAGAAATCTAAATAAGTTAATGTGAAAAGCACATATGTCAGTTAAAAATAGCTAGGTAGGTAATTTTTGGGATCCACCTATTAAAAGTGATGTTATGCTTTATGCTCATTTCATTAAAATTAATATTGGAATTTCATAGGCAGGGAAACCTATGACTGTTCAGGAGAGGCAAAGAAACAAAATTAAATGCAAAGAAACAGTAAAAGGATTTGTGAAATCAATCAGTCAAATGGTTTATGTTAGGATAAACAATCTTGCCCAGTGTGAACTCAAAATGGCAGCTGACTTTAGTTGGCACAAACGTTGTTCTAAATATGTTTCAGGAGCATCAGGTGTTTCCTGTGAAGATTTGTTTCCACATGGCAGAATTTCATCTAAATCCCAGCATCATGGGCAAGTGTCCTCTGCTCCCTACTCCAACTGCTGAACCATATGTATGATAGGATTTTTCCCTGCAGTGCACTGTGAGGTGAATACCAGAAACAACTGCACACCAAGACTTTCACATCCTGAATATATGCAGAATACTTCCTTCTGTCACCCCTTGACCCACTTCACTGACAGAGACACCAAGGAGGGGATTTAACAGAGCTCCACACCACAGTGCTGACTGTTCTGGACTTTATGAAAGTGAGACACACTATCACAGATGGCTTTGTAAGGTCATTGCCAAGGTCACTTCAGAAAATGAGATTTAAACTAAGTTACTTCTATGTTTTTACATAACATCTGACAGCCACAGGGTTCATAATGTATTTGCATACACTCCTAAAAAAATTTTTAAATTAACATAGAATTTTGCTGTAGACAGTTAAGAAAATTTGACATCAACATCTTGAAAATGGTAGAGAAGAAAATACAAAGCATCCTCAGAATTCCAACTTCTTAATTTTATTTAGCTTTTCTTATGAAGAAGTCCAGAAAATCTGTTTTAATCTATTTACTTAAATGTCCTAGCAAAAAAAAAATTGATGAAAACTGTGTTATCTAGAGTTTTGTCATCAAATCTGGCTCCAGACAAATCCCTCCTGCTTATCTAGTCCTACTGAAACATTTATTATTGCTCTGAACAAGGAAAAAACAGAATTCCTGATGAAGGGAACTCACGGGAGAAAGCCCTACAGAGAACAGAAAAATCCTGAAAATCCAAAATACAGATTATAACCAAAATCTAAAATTCACAAGAATTTGCAGCTACTACAAATGACCTAACTTCTACAATCAATAAGGTTCTGAATACTGAGTAAACCTAGGTACTAAAAGGTTTCTTGCAAATAACTATTGATATTTCATCAGCTATGTCACAATCTGTTAGAACCTGTTTATTATGGGGTTTTCTATGCTATGATTGTGCACTCTGCTTGTACTATCACCTATATTCTGAAGTCTGTGTCCTTTATATGTTTTCAGAGATAAATGATTCATTACTGTTGACCTTCATGGGGTATAGAATAAAAGGGTCACCAAATCACACATAGTACTCACAGTTTGAGGCCAACAGGTCGACTCTTTAATGAATTATTCCAGCTCCAGTAACATATCAAAAACAATGTTTGCTATTTTTTGTTAAAAACACACCCTTCCTTGGCTACCACAGTTACAGAGTGACTGAAGTGGAGCATGTTTGATGTTTTGATGACAAAGATGAAAACTGCAGGCAGGAAAACAGAAAACAAAAATAGAACTTCAGTTACAATTCCAGCTTTCATTTCCATTTCACACACTGATCATATTATTGGCCCTGAATGTGTCTTTGCTACTTTTTCCCTCCTGTCTTCTTTCCTTTAATTTTGTGGTCTGATTGCCCAAAGAGCTATTTTTTAACAAGACTTAGTTGTTTCTAGCTTCTCTTTCCAGGAGTCTGTTCTCTAACATTAACAATAACAAGGAAAAGGCAGTGGAGTGTTGTGCTCATAACACACACAGGGTGAGGCAGAGGCTGAATGATAAATCCTTGAACTGAAGGAACCCACAAATGCCTGCCCAGGCTTCCTTCTTGGTAACATTATACACTAAATAATACTACTGTTGAGAAATTCCAAACTGTCCCCAACCATTATTTAGTTCAAGAGGGACAAATACTTTCAGAGCACCACCTTGTCTCTGGCACTATTACAGATGTCAGAATGGCAAACTGCCTCACTCAGAAAGGAAACCAGGACCACTGTTAGTGATAGATGAGCTGAGGACTTCCAGGGAGTTACTTAAAACATATTGGCATTCTCAATAAAAGCAGTACTTAAAAACAGACTACAACTCCATGGGTCTAAAAAAACAAAAAAAAATGTTTGCAACAATTCCATGACTCTTTTTTTAATTTCTCTTCGAGGAATTTATGAAGTTTATTTGGTTTTACATTCTCTACTGTTAATCATGAAAGCAAATCCATCAGATTTTTCAACATACAAGGTCTGTATTGTGTGATTTTTGGAGAGATCATATAATTTTCATGCCAGAAGTGGTCTCCTCATCTCAAAATAAGTATTTTGAGTGATCCTTGTTTCTGCTGAATCTTTTTAAGAACACCAAGGAAAGTTCTCTGTTGAAGTAAACGGGCACAGTACCAAATGTCAGTGTAATCTCTTTCTCACTTACACCACCAGCCTCACACAATGGCCTGAGCCATTAACAAGTTGCTACTTAACAGGCTGTTAATTTTAGCAATCATGCTGCATATTAAAGGTCCAGAACAAGGTTTACATGAGATTGAACACAATCATTAAATGGAAGGCTACTGAAAATTACTGAAATTATATAAATCATGCAAATCACTGAAGGCTGGGAGAGGAATCAGAAGGTTTTACTACAGCCTCTGCTTATTCTTACAGCCTTCAATTTTTGGTCACAGATGCACATGTCCATGAACTTGCAGTCTGGCACAACATTCATATTTTCTTAAATGACACAGAATGAAAACATTTCTCCCTTTTATCACCTCAGGAACCATCACTGAATCCCTGATTCAGTAATCTTCAGCACTCTACTCCCTGATCTCCCAAAATTCCAGCTTCAGTTCAATTTTTAAAAATCTGACACTCTCAGTCAGGGTATAAGAGATTCTAAAGAATTTTACCACTTAAGTTTAAAGCATTTAAAGCTTGCCTTATTGCTGTTTTCCATGGTTTGTTTTCAGCTGGTGACCATTTGTAATTAACATACTCACGCCTGTTGTGATTAGGCTAAATAGTTTTACTCTCAGACTATTTGCAGGTTCAAAGTATGTAGAGGGTTTTCTTCTTTCTCAATCTCTTAGTATGAGACATATTTGTAGAACCAGAAATGGAAACACTTGTAAAGCTGCATTTGTCAGGCTCCCTCTCCTCTAAGCAGCCATGTATCTAAGGATGAAGCTACATGCTGGAAAAGGACCTGGGGGTGCTGGTTGACAGCAGCTGAACATGAGCCAGTGTGTGCCCAGGTGGCCAAGAAGGCCAATGACATCCTGGCTTGGATCGGCAATAGTGTGGCCATAGGACCAGGGCACTGATTGTCCCTCTGTACTAGGCACTGGTGAGGCCACACCTCAAATCCTGTGTCCAGTTTTGGGTCCCTCTCTCAGAGAAAGACACAGAGGTGCTGGAGCGAGTCCAGAGAAGGGCAATGGAGTTGGTGAAGGGTCTGATGAGGAGCAGCTGAGGGAGCTGGGAGTGTTTAGCCTGGAGAAAGGGAGGCTGAGGGAGGACCTTACCTACAATAGTCCATAGAAGTTTATAAGAGCATTCACATTATTTCATTAATTTCTTGCTAATTGCTATACTTCAGTTTTGTACAGAATTGCTTGACATAGTGATGCTTGTCCAGAGGAAGGATTTAGTTTCCAGAAAAAGATGTATTTACTGAAGAAGAAGCACATTACCAAAACCTAGATAAAATATAGAATTCGTTGATGAGATCTATTTTTATAAAATCCAAAATATTATTGTCTGCAATTCTTAAATTATTTCAGGAAGAGTGCCAACATCATAAAATGCAAGAAACAATAATGAGAATCCCTCTTGCCTCTGTGGTGGCACCATACATTATTTTTGATGAACGAGGCAGGCTTCCAAAACTTCTTTTCAGAAATTCAAGCCAATACTCAGATTGAATAAAATCACACTTGGCTCAGTGGCAGGCACTTGCAATCCAGGGAAAAGAGCCTGCAGTTTCCTTTTCCTTTCCCAGGACACTTTTGCTTAATAGCACACACCCAGAGGACCCAGGCTGTTAGCTCACAAAGCCATCTGCTTTTTAATCATCTGTGGGAACCATATGAGTACTCAACTAAGTGCTATTCTCCTTTAGTCAGCTTCCTAGTCCTGGATTTCTTCAGCTTTTCCTTCAGGAATATATTTAAATCCAAGCAGTTTCCCATGTCTGACTTGCCTTTACTTAGCAGTTTGAAGGACAGACAGATGAATTTTTTCTTTTAAAGAAAAGAGCTGCCAATAGGACATGTTAAGGTGGTGAACACAAACTTGTGATGCTCATGTCAAACAAATGAGAGCAAGAAAAGGCACACCCTACATTTGTTTCTCTCTCTGCCACAAGAAAGGGGAGTCAGAATCTCCTAGAGATGGCAGTAAATGTTATTACTGTGACCTTTTGTTAATTCTTAACTTCAGCTGCTGGTCATTCCCTGTTCTTCTCATTTACAGTTTCAGTAAGCAGCATAAGGGCATGTGAGCCAAAGAACCACAAAACAGCCACTCAAAATACAGAATACTAATATTTTTAAATTTCTGTTTAGAGTTCTTTAAAACCACATAGTTCTCCACTGGCTTTGATAAGACAGTTGCTTTCTTCTACAACATTTTTTAAGTAAATTATCAACAGGAACAGCATCTAAGCTATTTTGCTATACCTCTGCCCTGCAACCTCTGCATGAGCTCACTGTCTGCTCAACAGGAGCACAAGTTTCCAGTGCAGATCTGCCACATCAATTGGACAGGACAGGAGGTATATTTTGCAACATGTGCCAAGAACATAAATAAATAAATTATATGATTTACTTAAATCTTTATTGTTCCTCTACCATTCTGACCTTGGTGAAATCATTAGATAATGAAATACAAGTCCTCCCTTTCACTTTGTTTTTTATCTTGCTATCTGGTGACAAATAAATTATCTTTTCCATTGTTACATTTCATTTCACAAAATTTTTGTACTGCCTTTGCCCTTCATTTTTCCTCACACTGGTAAACTGTTAATGTATGTGAAAATAGAGCCTATTTGCTCAGCCCTACATACCTTTAACATATTAACTGAAAAAATCTGAAAACATAACTAAACCTATGGTTTTGTCTACAGATAAACACAGACTGATTTACAGTGATATATGTATGAAATAAGAAGTTTATGTTAAATTTCTCAGAAGTGTACCAGGAGCAATGATTCACAAGCCAACAAAAGATGGTAAATATCTATATTTTTTGAAAAGGTGTAAACTGGTTCGGTTCTGAACACCCAGCTACAGTTTCAGTTACACATCATTCTATGGATCTGACTGTAGAGTAGGAATGGATGAATTTTAAAAAGCTTAGGGAAAAGCATAAAAAATATTTTAGAATTATTAAGAATTTCAGTTTGCGAAGAAGAAAAGCTTCGGAACAGTTATGAATAAACTGCATTTTTTTCTTGGGTAAAATTTATATTATTAGCAAGGTTTAAACATAAATAACGTCTCTTTGAATGGTATTACAGTGGTTAGTTACAGCAAGCAGTGGCAAATAGCATTACTTACTACTCCAGAATTCCCCAGATGTGCACTCCACACACCTACATTTTCTTTCCTATATTATCCTCAGTGTTCAGACAGGCCTATGGGATACATCCTGATATCCAAACAACACGCAGGTAACTAAGCTGCCACATGAATTTTGAATATTTTCATTTCTCAGCAGTGCCAGGAGCAAGATGAAAAATTCCAGATTAGAGTAATACAGTGAAAGTACACCAAAGGAAGACTGAGGGGACATTAACAGGGGTACACAAAGAAGACATAATCTGTCTCAGAAAGGGCATTTTCCTTCAGTATCAACAAAATAGCACAAAACCAAATAACTCTTTTACATTTCCAAAATAATACTGCACACCCTAGCAGGAAGAGCCATTAAATGACTCCCTGCTGTTGTGACTGTGAGGGAAATGCATTCTTTCCGTGTTATGTATAGACAATTGGACAGAAGTATTTCTTAAAATAACAGAAAGGTGAAGACATATACTGTTTTTAAGTGTATCCCAGAAACTTGGAATGGCTGAACACAAACTAAATTCAGGGCTTACATAAAAGCTTTGCCATAGCTCTATATTTCCCTTGAACAAATTTAATGCACATAGGACAGTATTCCAGATCTATTGCTTTGTTACAGTCTTCATCCCTTAGAAAATAAGGAATAGATCCCAGTTCTTGACAATGGTGAGAGACAATGCTCATTCTGACCATCTAGCTGTGGTCAGCCGAATTAGCACTGAAAAAAAGTTAAGTTTGTGTCATCAATTAAGCGTGTATTATAAAATATCATCTGTTCCCACAGACCGATTCAACAATAATTGTATTTGTTTCTCATCCAAATCTATAAGATTTGTCCAGAGGCATTGAAAAAAGGATACAATTTAGGATACACTATAAATTGTAAGGAGAGGAAGCAAGGAGAATTCATGTTACCATGAAATAAAATGGAAAATAAATGAGTCTGAAATAATTCAGATGGAAAAGGTATATGTGATTTTGCTTTTTTTTTTCTTGTGAATGGTTGGGAACTTTCTTCATTTCATGTCAATTATTCTTAAATTTCTGCTGCCATTACTGGCAGTGAGCAAGGAGCTGGTGCATCCAGACTGTCAACAGCTCAGAGCAGCAAGTTCCCAAAAAATCATTTCCAGTTCTTAAGTTAAGTCTGGCTGTTACTTAGCTAGATAAAGAATTTTTTTCATTTACCTTTTTCTTATGTCATCGTCTCTGAGGAACTAGTCATACGTGAATATTTGCAGAGTTGTGTCATCTTTAATGAGGAATTGGTCTCTATGGGGCAAAGAAACAACAGGAATTAGACAGGGACAAGCACGGGAAGAAATCTAAAGCTACCAGAAGTTTTAAATTGAGAATAAAAATCTCTCAGTCTGTACAACTATGTATCAAAAGTATATGTTGTACACTATGAAAGTCAGCTCATCATTAGATCTGTATTATACAAAGAAGCACAAATTTATTTTGCATAAACCATGGAGTATTGGATCTTATGTTTACAGATCACCAGAACTGAAAAATGTCCGCTTCAATTATTTCTCTGAGATTTTCTGCAGATATTTCACAACCCATAAATGTCACTTATTAAAATGCAATTACATCACCTCTTTGCCAACATCAACATTTGTGCTTATCAGCATTCCATTTTCTGTCCTGCTCCAATCCTTTTTTCTTTCACTTTACTTTCTCTCTCTTATTCCTTGTTGACCCACAAGACCGCAATATTTCCCTGCACATTCACACCAACTTAACTTCAGCTGCAATGCTACTCTGTGAATGAGAGTGGCAGAAGTGCTGGCACACAGCTCCTCTCTGGGGCAGGAACTTCTGGCAAGGACTGGAATACATAAGGGTGACAGCAGAACTCCTAATTGCTCCTACTAAATCACTCAAACCCAGCTGTCAAAGTCCCCAAATTCTCTGGTATGTCTCCAAAACGCTACTCCAGATTTTGGAAGCAGAAGAGCCAACGACCATGACAGCCAAAGGAAGCTGTTTGTTCAAATACTGAGACCATGACTGCTACAAGCATAAAGGACAGCTCTGAGCTAACCCTGGTACCTTTACAGGATAGGGCACTAAAAAGCCTGAATGCCACCATCCGTTGAGTCCTCTCTGCCTGCCTGAAAAGCAGAGCAAGTTCCTAAAACTGTGTGGTTTTGGAAAAAGAAAAGAGCCCCGGCGTACCAGGAAACACAGCTGTGAACAGCCAACATTTCTTAGTGGTGAAGTGTCCCAGTGTGCATTGTGGAGGCAGGGGAAGGGAAAATGGAGGGGAAGGGATCTACAGGAATTGTTACACTGTTTTTCCTGACTCTGCACAAGTTTTAGATTGCCCTCACTGCCCTCTCCTCAAACATCCTCTGAGACAGACAACATTGACTACACTGCTTGAGAAACAAGTCACGTAGAGACCACATGCCTGCAGGCTGGTAGGTGTAATGTGAAAGGGAAGAAAACTTCCATTTCTGTAGGAAAGGGAAAGATACCAAAAATTTCAGGAGACAGGCTCATCCCAAGTAACTGCTCTATCAGTACAAACACCTTTGAACTTCTGCACAGTAGAAAAAAAGATATTTCAAACAATAGGAATTTGCTTAGCTTTCAGTATAGGCAGTTCCCTTACATCTCAGAAGAATATTCTCATCTAAACAACTTCTAAGGATTTGTAAATTTTGTCACAGACACAGTAGGTATAGACAAACTACATCATTAAGACATTTTTATTCTGCAATAAAATCTGAGTATTTGATAAGAATTAGAACATATTCTATAGCTGATTGACTACATATGTTGTCAATTGATTGACTACACTGCCAATGTTACTGCAATGCATCTCTAATGCAGAAATACTTCTTAAAATATTCAAAAGCAACATTAAACCATGTCACATCAGTAACAAAAACTTTTATAATAGACTAATTTCCCAAGAGTTTATGAATAGATGTTTGTATAGAAGTTCCAACTCCCAGGTCTGCCTCCTAGCAGTCAGAAAAAAATGTGAAGTTAAGCTACTCATACTTAATGTACTCAAATGCTCAGAAAAAGAAGCAGAAAATATGGAGAGCATATCCAGAGAACTGGATATTGGAGATGCTGATGCACTGTGAGAATGGGAAAAGCTGTTTTCAGGGCAGGTGAAGTGCAAGAGGACACTTGGACCAGCTGCTCCACGCTTACAACCTGTAAGCAATCTTACTCATACCTGCCTAAATACTTGGGGATGTTTATTTTTCCAGCCAGTTTTATTGAATGGAGACAGATCATCTTCCAAGTACCTAGAAAAAAACCTGCATCAATAAAAAATTAAATCTCTGCTCTTGTGCTGCAGTTATAACATGTTAATACTGACTTTATACCTTAAGAAAAGCATTAATAGTTTATGTTCTTAAGAAGCTGTTAATCAAAGATCTAGCTTCCATCAGCACAAAGCTAGCATTTACTAACATTTTAGAAAGCATAAACTACTGTAAAAGATTTGATTCAGTCAAGCACTCATATGTGAAATCCCAATTTCTTGGTGCCACCCAACTATACAAACACACATTTCTTTCCACCAATTCCTAAATACGACTAAAAGCAGAAGATACACATCTAGATGCCTAAAAGTCCCTTTGAAATACTGAAAACAATAATAGGAGCCTTCCTGCATGTACTAGAGTATAAATATTTGACAGATTTTTTTTTTTTTAGAATGTTATTCAATTTTAGAGTAACTTGTTTTTCAAGTAGAGCAGATGCTTTGATTTAACAGGGTACCACTTCATGCATTTAACCTTATTCTCTGTAGTCTCAACGTCCATTTCTAAAAGGAGAGATTTACAGGAGAATTATTAAAAAGTTTTGGTTTCTGTCTTGTGGATAAAAAATTTATTTGGTAATACAGTATTACTAGATAATTTTTCCCATACATACATCCATGTGCCTGCACACAGACCCAAACATTTATGTTTTTTTAAAAGGCCCACTTGTCCATCAAGCTTGCTGTAGCTGCAGATGCCTCTCAGAGAACCATAAACAACCTGATAACCAAACCAGTATCATCAGGAGCTTCCTCTTACAACAGCTTTGAGAGAAAGTATGATCAACACAAAAGATTAGAAGCAGACTTAATCTTTCCTTCTTCTGATATTTGTTCATATAATACCAGGCTACCTGTTTCTCTTTCCTGGATGTAGGTCAGGAGATGAGCAAAGCTACAGGAGCTCTAAAATGCTGTATATGTAGAATAGGGTAACTACTAAAACACAAGTTCTGCCCCTTGTGCACAAATATCCTCTTTTTTTTTTATTTTAAGAGCTTAAGCCCACATCTTATGAAACTGTTGCTCTGAGAAGATCCCAAATCCCTGACACATCGAAGTATGTGCTGTTATTCAAGGGTGCTATAAAAATTCAAGGCAGAGTTTAAATCCTGAAAATATAAAATAAACCATACTTCAACACAACAATCCCCAAATCATGTATATTCATAAAGAGAGGCTTAAGGATGAACCATCATCAGGTTTTCCTATGTTTACTTTTGCTAACCAGCTCTGATTGGTGGTAAGATATAAAGTGAATTCACCCGAAGTGAAGCCACGGAATAGGATGCCATGAAAAGGCAGCAATCCAGAGTTGTCTAAGAATTAGGCCTCTAAAGAGTATCTCAGAAATTATGCTTCTCCTTTCAAAGACAGAATTTGTTCATGGGCAAACTGAGGAAAGAAGCCTTGTGTCAAGGAGCACCAAGGTAATAAGAAACAGATTCTCTGTCTTGATGTTCCTGTTCTGTGGATAAGCAAAGCATGAATATTTTGAGCTTTTCTGATCTGGTATACTTCTGTGGCTTTGTACTCATTGCAAGGGTTTTAATTAAAAGAGAAACCAATTATATCTAACCCTTTGCCTACATTATCATTAACCTGCTTTCTTTACAAATTAAAGGCACTGAAGCAGAATTTTATTTTTTTAATGATGCTATTAATTTAATTCTCTTGGATCTTTTACCTTTCTTGCACAGATTAGTTGTCTGCATTACTTTTAGTATCATCTCTCTTGAGAGGTGATCCATTAGGTGAGCTATTTTAATAATGCTCGAGTGTGAACTTTCTGTTAAAGCTTCTGCAGCACTGACAATCCCTACTGCAAGAGAAAAAGCTGGTACATCTAGCTCTGGAATGGTGTTCAAAAGGATCCTACCAACTTAAAATTCATACTGAGTATGAATTTCTCTCTACTTAAACCAGAAGTAGAGACAGAAAAAGAAAAACCACGGAAGAAATGAGAGGAGTACAGGGGAGGAGGGAGCATGCAAGAATAAATGATGACTTGAAAGGAGATGAGCTGAGAACAGGTGGTGAGAACAACAAAATGGAACATAAGGCAGCAGGATTGTGGAAAATACTGAAGACAATTGGGGAAAGAAAAAAAAACAAACCCCAAAACAAAACAGGGAGAAACTGGAATATAGAAACACGGGACAAAGCTAAAAAATATTTCCTTGCATTGGCTATTTGTTGTAAGGGTATTTTAATCAAAATTAATGGAGGAAAGATGCATATCTGTGTCCTGTGGTCTGGGACTTGATGTACATGCACTGACCTACCTAAGGAATAAAGCTCTATAGACATTAACATAGAAAAGCAAAGCTTGTCCTATGGGGTGCCTCAATACCCTTTCCTATTGATTAGTACTGTCACCACAGTGTTGAAAAGCTAAGGGATTTTTTTTGTTCTAATTTGTCCCACAGAATATTACTGTGGCTGTTGGATCAAAGCTATTTCAAAACTCAGTCCCAGTTTCTTTCACTTCGGGCTCTTGGAAGAAAATATGTACACTTGCAGCATTCCAAGTCCTAAAGTAATTCAGCTGCAATATGAAAAACAGAAATGAAGCATTCATATAATTTAAATGCAGCAAAGTTTCCATTACAATTCATTTTAAGAAGATGCTTTTGTTCACATAGGTTGGACTCGGACTTGATTTTGGAGGTCTTTTCCAACCTTAATGTGATTCTATATTCTGAAATCACCACCCTTTAGAAATTCCAGGACATTGGGTGTATTTACACTATCAAGTAGTGAGATGCAAAGGAGGGCTGGGGGGTTGATGTCCTGCACTCCATTATGGTTCCAGGACCCGGTGTCCACTCTGTACCTTTGCCCACAATGAAGTTCATGCCACTTGCCCATCCCAGGCTCACACCTCCAGCAGGAAGGAAAACACACTACACTTCAGTGCATACAGCAAGTCTTGTGCAGGCACAATGCAAATTCATGCCCAAAAGAACTCTTTGAGCTCACATCACTCCCCCAGTGACCTGCAGTTCTTCTCCCAGCTCTCAGCATCATGGACAGTGCCATCAAAAAGGCAGAAGCTGTGCCATTTTGACAGCATGCCCAGCACAACTCTCAGCCTGATTTCTGTGAAGAGAGGTGGCACATGTCAGTCTGAGTGACATGTCATCCAAAATTTTGAGTATTGCTCTGACACCAATCCCTTCTATGAGGTTTAACAAATGACTGCTTTGGCTTTCTCCTGGTAAAAAGTGAGAAATTATTCCACAAGAAGGAATACAAGCCAGTAGAAAGTGCATGCTAGAGTAATGACATTAATTCTGAAGATACATCTTCAGAAAATGACAACTTTCTTCTTAGTTCTGTATTATGTCACACACTCAGAAGTCTTTCTGTACGCAGAAGGACCCATGGACATCACTGGAGTATTTTCCTGTAGCAGCAAAAACTTTACAACAACCATGTAGAGGATAAAGCAGGATAAACTTCCAGTAGGATTACACTAGCAGTTGTAACAAATCAGAACCCAAAGACACATAAGCCAGGAAGAGGTAAAAGCTTCCGAGGGTCATGCAAATCTCAAAGTTGAGAAAAGTCCTGTCAAGTCTAAGCACTGCTGTCACCTATTCTGAAGATTCCCCAGGAAAAGAATTGGGTTGGTTTCCTGAGTCTCTACTTTTCAGTGCATATTACAAGATACTGACTTCGATCAGCTACCTTCTTTGTTTTCTCTCTGGAACTACTAAGGATGTGCCAGTGGTTACAAAATGTTTCTTAAAAGACTTAGAGTAAATTCCTGGTCAAATATTAAGCTTCATTCATTTTCTTCCTGTGGTTCTTCTCAAAAGAGGATTCTGGAAAAAAATCTTTTGGGAAACATGATAAAGAATATGCAAGTACGAACAGAGTTGATAAATCATTTATGAAAAAAGTGAAGCGATAATGTTCCCAAGTGTGAATGCAAGAAGGGTTTCAATTAATATGTGAAGCATAATAAATACAATCCATTTTAAAACAGACAATTAGACAACTGCCATACCCAAGGAAGCGGGAAGATGTGAATTATGACTGGCAGAAAGCAAGCAACCCAGTGGTTATTCAGCTGGTTTTCTTAGGAGGGAAATTTCTCAGTGAGAAAATAGAAGTCTGCCTACCTAATATGATACAAATCAATAGATGAATTCAAGATTCTTGAGAAATAGCCTCAAAGTTACTGACAAATACCACATGCTTTATTAAATAATAAACCATGCACTTGTCTTCTTTCATCAGATGAGCAGATTGATGTTCATCTACTAACACTGTCCACCCAGAGCAATCCAGAGACATGGATTACTATTTTTATTTTCAGAATTGCCTTTACTAATAAAGCATTTTTTCCACAGGGAGTAAACAGAATAATGACAGTGTCACAGGAAGTTCATTCTGAAGAAGCTCAGGCCTTGCAGTCCCAGAGGAAAAGTTTCAGCACACTTGTACGAATTTCAACAATCCTGCCAGTTCACTGCTCTAAATGATCCAGCCCACGATGTCAGGAGGTCAGGTTAACTCCAGTTAAAAGAACTGGCCTTTAAAAAGTTTTGGCTGCTTTCAAAGGCAAAATGAAGCTTTTAGAGTTAAAAATTTATCACAGAAATTGATGTGTGGTTACCCTCTTTGAAACTTCTTATGCTTAAAGGACATTCAGGAGTTAATTGATTGCACACTCACCATCAATTCTGGTCACAACTAATGAAAGACTTCATATTCTAACATTGGCAGTACATAATAACAGCTGCCCGATTTCTATGGATGGTGTCACATGAATGGAACCCTTCCTGTCTTTAAATATCTACTAAATGGTGATTTTTATGGAACATAAATTCTTTGTTGGGTATTTTAGCTTTGCATGTTTCAGAATCATTAATATTCACTGAACTTTACACAATTAGTCATGACATTGTATAATTAGTCGCCCTTTGCTTTACCCCCTGACAGACGTTCTGGTCTTGCACACATTAAAACATTCAAATAAACCACAAGTGTATGCATAAACTTCAAGCAATTAAAGGGATTTTGTTCAACTTTCAGTCCTTTATTTTGTTCAACTTTCAGTCCTTTGTGAGTAAAACTAGTTAACTTAACTAGCAAAAGAACAGGAATCCAATGACAACCTAGAACTGGGATTAGTACTTTGCTAATGTATTCAGATTCTGAGGTTTGAGAGCAAAAAGCATGATCAAGGTCTGTTTAAACCAATAAGAGATTGTCTTCTTTCTTTAGAAGCATTTTAGGTCTGGCTCTGTGTTCTCTGTGTAGAATGAAAAAGCCCATTTCTTAATTTAAAAAAGAAAACGCTGTCTCTAAGCAGAACAAAAATGGAGCAGTCCTCTACATTTACCACTGAGAATTAACTTGACAGAAAGACATTAATGATTTTACTAACAAAGCAATAAAACAAGACAACTGTAGATTAGCAATATTCAAGCAGTAGTAGGCCTAAAAATGCTTCTACATTTTTTTCCTGTAAGGTGCATATCTGCACTGTACAAGCACAAGGTCTGTAGTCTGAGTTATTCAAAATTGACTGAGCCTCTTTTCAGAAGGAACTTCCCAGGAACCTGATAGAAAATCAGGGACAAGATCACACAAACAGAATTGACCTCTTTACTGCTTACAATTCATAACTTAGCTACAGTGTCAAATAGCAAATCAGACTTAAATAATGTTCTTCTTAGGAGGATTAAGCAAATGAGTAAGTATAATTAGTAAAACTATAATTATCAGCTCAATGTTCCCATTACAGCAATAAAGAGAGAGTGCCTGTAGAATAAATTCCAGTTTCCTTCCTTCCAGGTTAACCAACCACTGGAAAAAAAGAAAAAAAAAGAGAAAACCATGAATAATTCAAGATTTTACTTGCTTTATGTAAAAAAGGGCCCTGCATGTAAATTCAGATGAATCCCTCATTCACTGAAAAACCAACTCATTTCCTTTCAGAATAGCAAATGGAGAAAATAATTTCCTTTTAGATGACTGCACTGTATGCCTATTTCACATCCTGTTGAACACACAGTGAAGAATTAACTGGCATAAACATCTCAGCCCCTTACCCTGAAGGTGTGAACAGCACTGTTAACAGCCTTCTCCATCTCTGATTTTGCTTTTTTATTAAGTAAGCATTCTTGCAGAGACAAGATTGTCAAAAATTAGACAGCAGAACTTATCAAACAATAGATGAGGATAATTAGATCACATGCGAATACCACTTTTTGTAACTCCAGTGAAAGGAAAGGAATAGAGTGACAAGATCTCTGATGCTTTTGTCCCTGAACCTAATTCTATTAAGTCATTTACTCCTTTTCAAACAGCTACCAAAAGTAAAATGGAACGACGTTGCACATGATGCATCATCATCTTAGTTTTATATTTGTCCTGAAAAAGTTTTACAACATACAGGAAGGAAAGCAGCAGAGAACTTGCCACTACACCCTGGTGTCCTTTTGCAGCAACCACCACATTGAAACAGGTGTGCACATGATCTGCTCTACATCCTGTCTCTGACAGCAGATCTGGCCAGCTCCATCAGAGGCAAGTGCAGAAGCCTGCCCAGTCAGGATACACTATTTTTGCTGATGAATTCTTCAGTTCACATCTCTGCAGGATTTTACATTAAGAACAGACGTCTTATGATGCCTTAACTGCTAAACCTCCATGCAAAGGGTGGATGCATCTGTCAGTGTGAGAGGCTGCAGCACACCAAGTGCCCTCAGGGGAGAGTTAACCCTGATCTGACCAGGGAAAACCTTTAAGGCCACATCATTCTCTCAGTCCCAATGGAGATTTGTCTTCTCCATGTCTACAATTCAAGCTGACTCTAGTCATGTCCAATAACCCTTACTTCCATCCTACAAAACTAGTCTTGCTTCCAAATGGATGAGTCTTGTCACTTGTGTTAGTTCTAAGTGTATTCAGGAGTATAGTCTTGTTTGCAAACAGTCTGAATCAGGGTCAGAAACTCCAAAAGCTCAACTTTCCTGACAATCCTACTGGTGACAATCTCATATGTGTTGCTGCAGCACTGGGATGCATGCAGGATCCAAGATTACATACACTTTAGCAGCACAGGAATAGAGAGACATTAATTCATTCATATTCTTACTTCCTTTCCTTGCAGTCAATACAGTTTAATTTTTTCTCTACAACATTTAAAAATATCTGGATTTTGGACAAAATTCGAGTTTTCACAGTCATGATTTTAATCTGGTTTGCAAATATCTGTACTCACATGAACATAAAAAGTCAAACACATGAAATAGTTTCTTAACTAGAGAATTCCTTGACATAAAGGTTGTCATCTACATTTTAGGACAAAAATAACATATGGTGGAGCATCCCACACAGGTGTCTTAGCAAGTTCCCAGTTCAGAATGAATAAAATGGGCTTCCTTATTCAGAACTAAGCCATTCTATCCTGGAATGCAAATCCACAGGTAGTATCTCAGAGTATTTTGCTTGTTGCTAATTGACTGCAATGATCATTAGGACAAAGGGCTAAGTCAGCTAAACAGCAAGTTCCAACAACAAGTTTCAACAACAATCAACAGCACTTACAAGGTTTCTATTTTTTGTTTAAAACCAAACAGCAGAAAATCTGTCTTTTGGCTGAGGATAATGGCACCTGAAAGAAGGTCAAAGAATACTTTAACAAATGAAGATTAAGGGCTCTCATCCCCTTAATCTCCCCCTCAGAAGTGTTGCAGGCAGGAATGACAGAGGACTCCAGCACACACGGATCAAGCGGCAGCTTCTCCAGGCAGGAAAAGGTAGACAGTACACAACCCATTTCACAGTCAGGATTTTACCTGCATCACAGACTGCTTAGAAATACCACCGCTGTAGATAATGAAGAAATGGTGGCTGCCCAGGAAAGATTCCAAAAGCTTCCTGTTGTAAACTGCCTGCAGCTGCCCCCTTGTGTATCCTCTGCTGCTCGCTGTCAAACGCTAATAGCCTCCATCACTTGAGCTATAGATAAAGTAGCAACCAAAAATTATTGGCACATTAACAGAAAGAAAGAGTTCTAGATACCCTAAAATACAAAGTGGGGGTGGAGGGAGATAAAAAAATATAAATTCCATTCACTTGTTTCTATTGCTTTTCCTTCTACATTGTTTAAAAGAAGAAGAAGTCCTATAGAGGCACACATGCCAGATATTTTTTCCTATCAACACACCAGGCAGTCTCCAGAGCATAAATGGACTGTTCCTCCATTTCACCCGTAGAGCTGAACAAAAAGGCCATCTGCTCCTGGATTTGACTGACTGAACTCAAAGAGCTGCAGTGTTCCCTACACTCGCTGTGGGGCTGTCAAAGTAGTGATTTCTGCCTGTCATTTTTCACTTTACCCCATGACTCCATGGGATGGGCTGTGCTTAGCTCAGCACGGGCAAGTATATATACAGCAGGAAAGGGAATGGCATTGCAATTTTTGCTTTTCCCCTCACTCTTTCTGAGGGTTGCATCAGAAAGCAACCCTCCATTCAAATGGCAGCCTGTTAGGACAGCATTAGAATTCCTAAAAGAAGAGAGTCAGTTGCTATAGGCACATTGGCTGGGCCAAAGCAAAAGAGAAAATCCAACTTACAAGGCCACAATCAATTTATACACCCCCAAGAAAGATAAAATACCTAGTTTATACTCAGGTACGTTCTCACATACTCCAAAGAATAAGTGACTTGATACTTGCCTTTAGGCATAGATTCACAATCCTCTTGTGCCTTTTGTATCAGCTCCTAACTGCTGAGGATGGTGATGGCTGGTGATGCACCTTCACGGTGGTGCAGGGCCTTGCATCAGTCCACTCGTTCACTGAAAAGAAAACAGTGATACAGGGTCAGAATATTTTCTAGCACTGTGTTTTTATTTCCCCTGTACAGAAAGACTTAGAAGCAGCACATGGGCAATCCCTTGCAAAAGCCTCAGCTTTGGTGTTTGTCCTCGCTTTGTCAGATTTCTGTATTTAGACCCTAAATTTCTTATCTTGGAATTGCCCAGACCAAAGTTACTCATCTTGACATATGTACCCTGGGCATAACTGTTCTTCAGAAAAAGGTAGGTCTGCCTGGAGCAAGTTTTTGCCTGAAGGAAAGCATTTAACCAACGCAAATTCTCTTAGTGATCAGCAGCATATAATTATTCTGTGGGTTCCTGCACGTGAAGCCATCTGGGTTTAACTCTAAAGTAAGCTCTAGAGTGAGGTCTCGTTGTTCACAACTTTTTTGGCTTTTAGACTGAGCATTTATGTGGAACTCCCACAAAAAGTCTCATCTGCCCATTTAAAAATAAATAAATAAAGCGTTAATTTTTCTCACACTAACTCCGCTTCCTTTTAACCAAAACAGTTGTGAAACTCCTGTGCCAGAAAAGAAAACACAAGAGCAAAGTTAGAGAAACATAAGAAAAATGAGTTTATTTACTGAAGGATAGAATCATACATTTCAGGAAAAGAAAGGGCCTTCTGGGTCATATACCTCATATCCCTGGACAGCAGGATGGTTGCTCATGGTCTCTAACGTGCTTTCATTGATTTTTTTTCTCTTTTTCAATACTCCAGAGAGACAGTATCTCATCATACCCACTCATGATAAATTCCCCTTTGTCCACTTAATTTACTGCAGACCTGGAAACCGTTCCCTAGTGTCTGCAAACTTTCCCTTCATTTACTATGTTATCTTTAAAATAACGTAAATAAAGCTCCTTTCTTTTCTGGTTGTAAACTACATTCTGACTTCAATACTCTGTTTGTCACATGAGAGTATTTGTGATCTGGAGTGCATAAACTGTGCTGCAGTTTGATACAACAAATGAGACTTTGGCACATTCTGTTCAGAAGGATGAGCAATCACAGACTTACTCAAGCATATCACTGAACAAATTCACATAACCATTTCCAAAATATTTGTTTGGAGTTTTCCTGTCATCTTCATTAAAAAATGTTTCCCTAAACACCAAACGTTCCAGGCATGCAAGATTTATAACTCTAAAGGCAGTACCCAAAGCCAGGCATTTTCAAATTTGGCTTCTTTGAAAGATTTAGAAGCTGCACACTGACAATTTACTTCACAAGTGATCACTGGTTCATAAAATGAAAACTACAGTTTCTTATTCACCTACAGTCAGCAATTAATCCAGTATAGTGATGACAACTATTAATAATAATAGTACAAGAAATGGTAAAAATAGAAAAAGTGTCATTAGCAGGTAAATGTTGCCTATTCAGGCAGTAGAACACAAAGTTTCCACCCTTATCCAGCCATGTTTTATTCAGTGTAACTTTTGAATGTCCATATATTAAATGGCTGTTGCATAAAGACATAAATCAAGTTTTACAATCATCAGAATTTGAAACCAACTCTTATTAATAAATAAAAAACACATAAATTGGTAACGTGCAGAAGCTCTAGAGTAAAAAGGAAAGGAAAAGCATAAGAAAAACAAATGGCACTGAATTATTCAAACCTACAGTTAGACTGTGAGTTCATCATATAACACTAAGCTTTCCTAGCTTACAAGAAAAAAACTTTGCCTTAAATCCAGAGATACTGTCTTTGGGTTTTTGAGACGTTTTCTGCCATTCTAGTAGCGTAGAGCTACATTAGAGCTACAAGAATCTTACAATCTCTTAAGAGTTTGTGGATCCAGATCTCAAATACTATATTATATAGACAGCACAGCCCTTATTCAAAAACATTCTAGAAGAAAAACAAAAACAAAAAAACCTGCACCAAACCAACACACACATAGTTTACCACTTTGGTGCTTGAAAATATACATCTTAGAGTTGCCTCTAAGAAAATTTGCTTAGAAAAGATTAAAGTATGGAGCTGCTTCTAAGCTGAAATTTGCTTAGAAAAGATTAAAGTATGAAGCCAGACTTGAGGAAGGAGATGGAGCGTCTGCCACTCTTTGCACAGCAGATGAAGGCTGCAGTCATTTTGCAGCACACCTGAACAACAGTTGGAGTTCCCAATTAAAAGAATGAAGTGTGCTAAGCCACTCCATGTGATGTTATCACCCTTGGAGTGGATGCACTATCACCAAACAAGGTGAATTGAACACCAGATAAAAGCACAAACAGGGCAAAAACACCGGCTCTTCTTTTAAGACTGGGAAACTTAAGTGTGAGAGGGAAAATTACTGAACACCAGCACAGCTTTCTGTTTTGGTCTGACATGTGAATGGCAGCAGATTGAAGGTGTCTGAAGCAAGTAGTTTAAATTATAGCTTCATATTTTTGCTTATGAAAGACTTCATCTTTTTGGCCACATTTTCAAGCATTACTTTTAAGTTAGTACCTGAAAAGCACACATGCTGCATATGTAAAAAGCTCTTAGAAACATTCTGACAAAATTAGAGGGGGAAAAAAACCCCAACTTGTTGTTGTGCACTTATTGTATTTCAGCATGCAAGTCATATTGGTTTCTTTAATTGCCTGTTTGCATGGGCAACTTTTGCCCAGTTTTGAAAACAAAACCTATTTTTGTGTGCAGGCTTCAGGGAATATTGCAGTTAGAATGTTTGTAGCCCCCAGTGCAAAGTGTTCCTTCTCTGTTGACTGAAATTAATACCATAAACAGGGAACCATTACTTTTTCTTTCTTTCCTACATTATTCAAGCATCATAATTGAAACCTTAGAAAACCTGGCATGCTATTAGACTCAGACACGATAAATGATGACCCAAAATGTTTTTGAGACTTAATCCCCTGAAGGTAAGTACTCCACATAAAGCCCCATAATCCAAATTTCAGAATTAATTACTTTTGTCATTTGTGACAGGCATTATGAATCTGAATTAATTATATTAGGAATGTCTGTAAACAGAGTAATGGCTCAAAGGAAGTAAATCTTTCTGATAGAATTTGCCATGCATTTTTGAGGATGAAACACAGGATGTGGTTGGGGAACTAAGCTAAATTTACCCAGAAAATTAATTATATCCTATTCTGTCCACTGGTGAATATGTTTAAAAGACTGGTTTGTAACAGATTGTCATGAGAAAAGTGACCAGTCTGACTGACAGCAGCACTGCTATCTCAATAAACATACAACCACCAGCTCAGGAACCACACTGACAGTATTGATCAGCATCAAGGCTGGCAAAACAATAGTTTATCTTTGCCAGAGAACACAAGTCTTCAAAACTCCTTCCACTAGAACACCAGCACAGCAATCACTCTGAGGCACAGAAAATTAAGACCTATTCATACCACTATATTTACAAGTCCTTCCATAATAAAAGCACACAATGGGCTAAGACTGTTCAAATTAACATTTACAACAATTTCAGGAATTTGTCATCGTCTCAAACTGCACCATCAGCACAAACTGATTGCCACATAATATTTCATCTTTGACAAACATTTCAAGATTTGGCTCCTCAGAGCAGGGAATTTTTTTCTTTTAAACCAAACAAATAATTTCAATTAGCTGCACCTAAGTTATCAATTCTCACAGCAAATGTTTATTTTAGTCTGTATCTTGATTTCACCCCATTGTAATTTATTTAGTAACTAACTCAACTAACGGATTTGGGAGTCAGCCTAACTGCTTCCAACCATTGTGCTGGAACTCTGTGGTAAGCTATAAACATTTAAGTGCTTTTACATTAAAGCAAATAGCACTGGTCATGTAGTTATCATAAAGTTTCTCCTACTGTTGTGGTTTCCCACCAGCTGGCAACAATGCCCCACACAGCCGCTCCCTCACTCCCCCACCAGCAGGAGTGGGGAGAGAATGGGAACGGTAAAAGCTACAGAACTCGTGGGATGAGACAAAGACAGTTTAATAGGGGAAGCAAAAGCTGTGCTCACAAGTAAAGCAAAACAAGGAATGAATTCACCACTTCCCATGGGCAGGCAGGTGTTCAGCCCTCCCCAGGAGAGCAGGCACCCATCACGTCTAACGGTGACTTGGGAAGACAAACAGTGTCACTCCAAACATCCCCCTC